GCTTCTGATGTCCCCACTGCTTGTTGTAGTCCTTGTAATCCTGCGGGGTCCAGGCTTGTTTCTTCTTGATGTATTCCTGGTATCTCTCAGAGCTGCGTTGCCTGGTTGCAGATTTGCTGCGGATGTAAACCATGAGAGGACTGTGAGAGTCGGAGTCCTGCGAGCCATTCATGAACATGTCATTGTTCACGTGCTTAATAAGCGCTCTGCGGATGAGACCTGGTAATCGAATATGGCCTTGGTTGGATGGTTCCGCATGAATTCCAGTTGTTCATCATCCATGCCGTTCATCTCGTCCTTCCAGAAAGCCTGCTGGATGTTCGCTTTGCCCCATCCAAATACGAAAGTCATCATCACATCTGGGAATGTTCGATCATATCCTGATCCACACTTCATGTACAGGTGATGACGGACAATGGATTTTAGGGTGCGCGAAGTCTCCATTGCATACTCCATTCTGTCCACGAGTGGCAAATCTTTCGTTTCATTCCACAGTCTCTGATATGCTCTCATGAGGATGTTCACGAGACCGTTGGCCGGATTGAAGACGTGCTGTAGTTTGCTGTAGGTGTTCGCTGATTTGTTGGCGTCTCCGGTGATCGCATCGCATCGGTACAAAGTCACGAGCGGCATGATTTCATTTTGAAGATCTTCCCTTGCTGCTCCATGGCTAATTGAAGGATGGATGTGGAAAACTCCAATGGGAGATCTGCCCTCGTTATGCGGCGGTCGTCATACTCGTGGAGTGACTTGTTGGATGATTTCGGGATCATGCCACGAAACTCATCACTCTGCTCGTTATGGAGAACGACGATCTCCTTGTCTCGGCCATGTCCTTGGACAATGGTGCGTGTTGGCAATCTCGGTCCAATGTACTTCTTGGATTCAGTAAACATGGATGGTCCTGTGGTTGCCAAGCAATCCGAGGTCGGAATTTCGTATTCGGGATCAGTGCAACTTCCTTCAGTTCCGAAGAAACATCTGAACATTCCGAATGTGGTTCCCCAATTCTGGCTCTTGGTGGAAATGTGTCTTGCCAGAAGTTCCACTCTTGCAGAAGGTCCGCCACGGACAAAGCATGCGATCGGTCTGGATGACCATTGCTTGATCACGATGCCCTTGTAACCGTATCGGATGAACGTCTTGATGAGCTCCCTGGATTTCTCATCATTAGGACTGAAGAATGCGTCTGCTTCATTCAGGCATAAGATGTGCGCACTGTTCTGCATCATCATCTTTACGATCGGTCGACCCCTCATCGGCATGTTGTACCTCCCTGTTGTCCAGCTTTGGATTCCTTGTGAGGTTTCCATGGTTCAGGGTAAGCGTGTTGATCGCTATGGATGAGGTGAACTCATGCATCTTGAGATAGTCCACAGGAGGACGGTCGGTCGGCTGCATCAGCGATCCCAGGGTATCGGCATAGGCTCGGATGATTTCCGGGTCATCATGTGACCTGAGCTTCTTCAATCCAAGCGGAAGCTTAATCGGATATCCGGATCCTGGTTGAGCTTGCTTGTACTCACCAATGGTGGGACATTCTCCTCGATGAGGGAAGTAGAATTCTTCTTCTCCGAGATTGACATCGGGATCGACATGTGCCAATGAGGCTCTCTCGCACTCTGTCAAGTTGGGATGAGCTCTTCTTGGATCTTTGTTGAACTTGTTCATGAAGCGGGAGAGGTTTGCCTTGGTCTCCGCGAGCTCTTCCTCTGCGTCCTTTTTGTTCAAATCTGTTTCGAGATAGATTCCCTTCAGTTCTTGGATGAACTCATCTAGGTTCTCTGAATTGTGATATTCCACGATGACTTTTGGCTTGACGGATCTTTGGAGGGCTCCATCGTCTCCTCTTCAGCTTCGTCCTGATCGGTGGAACGCCGTCTCTTCTTGGTCTCTGAGGAAGTATCTTTTTCCTTGCTGTGCTTGGTGGAATTCACATAATTGAAGAAGGCATCGGCAAACTCGCGGATCTTGGTGTCGTACATCTCGTAATCTTCATAACTGAGATGCTTCTTCATGATCCACTTGTTGCGCGCCATGAGGCTGCCATCAGGTTCAAATGCTGCAACAATGTTCCTTGCCTCGATGGTTTTGTCTGTCAACGCTGTTCGCTCTTCGGAGAGTCGGATGCCATAGTCTTGGTCCTTGAGGAATGCAAGGATCAACAGTGCATCTCTTCCTGCTGGCACATGGGTCAATACGGCTTCTCACTCATCGTCGTCAAGGATGACGTCATCGATGCATGCCATGTGGACGTGCATTCTCCCCTGAAGGGTTTGACTGGGATTTCCCAGATTTGAGCCCGTGCTCCATGATGCTGAAGAGCTGATTTCCATAGGTTGCATGGAACATGAATGTGATGGGCTTCTTCGCGAACGGCTTGATTTTTCTCTCTTCTTCAATGGATGGTGGTGCCGGCCTTCGCATTCTGTGCTTGGGCTGAGCTGTGCCTTCATCTTCATGAGGCGCCTCGGATCTTGACGGATGCGAACTTGGCGGA